AAAAAAAAAAACTATAGTGCAGGTGACTCGATAGCATCAGGTTCCTTCGTCGGCAAGCTCTTGCATGCGTTCCACTCATCATATGCATCCGCGGGCGCCGAGCGCTCCGTGCACCTTCTGCCATTGCGTTTTCTTTTTCTTCTTTTTCTGCTTTCCTCTTACTTTGGTTTAAATGAATAAATCTTTTTTAATCTTCTTCTCTCCCTTTCAGCTCCAGTGCAGCTCCGCATACCCCCCCTCTTTTCTTCCTGGCTCGGGCTGCTCTGCTCGGTAACCGCAGCCTCTCAGGGGCCCCTCTCTATCTCGCGCTGTATCTTCTTCTCTCTTTTTATTGCTTCACCTGCAGCAGCTGAGGGCTCAGGTGATGGGGGGAGTCGCAGCAACCCGCTCTAGGCGGGGAGCAGCAGCAGCAGCGGCAGGCGCCGCAGCTGCCGTGCTGTTCCTATTTGGCGGTGGCAGCATCAGCAGCAGCAGCAGCAGCAGCAACAGCAGCAGCAGCATATTGTTCTGCGCAGCAGCTACAGACTCTACAGATACTTCTTATGCTGGTTCCTCTTCAGGCTTTCCCCCTCAATCGGGTCTATCTGATCAGCTATCTCAGCTTGTTTCTTCTGTCGCTCCTTTTGTATCTCAGCTGCTTTCTGGTTCTGGTGGTGATGGGGGTGATGGGGGTACCGATACAGCAGGCGGCGCGGGGGCCCTGGGTGCTTTGTATGAGATGGGTAGAAAGGCTGCGGGGGCCCTATCAACGTCTCTCGCCTCTGACGATGCAAGAGAAGGAATGTGGGTGCCGCTGCACGAGCAGATAGGGGTAGCCCGGGACATGCTGGGGCTGCCGGGTGACGATGCTCAGGGGGTGCGCAGCGCCGCGCGGCTGCTGCTGGCGGCGCAGCTACCTATTGCTCGCTTTGCTGCAGAGAGAGAAGCATGCACTGATGAGGAAGCAGATAGCCGGGCTCTTAAGATTGTTACTGAATACCCCACAACAAAAAAGTAAGTTCGTTGTCTTTCTTCTTTCTTTTTTATTTGTTTTTACTTATATACGTTTACAGCAGTGCAACAGCTGCTCCAGCAGCAGCAGCAGCAGCAACAGCAGCAGCAGCAGCAGCAGTTGTTGTTCTCGCTTAGTTTGTATTCAGAGACGCAAACATAGTGCATACAAGCCCACATAGAAAGCAGAAACATGTTCCCCTTTCCCAGCACAGTTCCTGCTGCTGCATCTTCTGCTGCTGCTGCTCTTGCTGCTGCTGCTGCTGCTGGTGCTGCTGGTGCTGCTGCAGGATGTTGCAGGACTACATGGAGCAGAAGCCGGATAGAAACATCCGCGCTGCTCCTGCTGACCTGCTGCGGCTGCACGGGGCGATGAAGGAGCACCTGCGTGCGTTTCGTGCTGCAGCAGCAAACAACATATTGCCTGTATCTATACTGGGGGCCCTCGATTCTCTGAGTGCCGAAGCAGCAGCAAAAGCAACAGGATACATAGCTACGGTGTCTAGGTATCTTATGTTTAGAGATAGATTCAATAAAAACAAAAGAGGGTTATCTTTCTTTGCTCGGCATGTGCTGCCGCGGCTGCTGCAGCTGTTTGCGCTGCAGCTCGATGCATGCAGACATCTTTGGCGTTTTCTTTCTTTTGTTTCTCCCCATGAAACCAGTATCTCTCCTGTATCTTTTAAGCCCCCATTACCCCCTGCAGGTGCAGCAGCAGCAGCAGCAGCAGCAGCAGCAGCAGCAAATGCAGCAGCATCAGCAACAGCAGCAGCAGCAGCAGCAGCATCAGGAGCAGCAGGATCATCAGGCCCCTCTCCATACTCTTCTTCTCTCCCTACCCCACTAACTATACACGATGCAGAGACGGGGGGCCCCCTGGGGGGCCCCCTAAGAACCATAGCACAGAACCTAGGCTTCGCGGTGCCGGCTGTACCGCATGCAGCAGCACGGGGCTTCGGCCGCAGGCTGCTGGCGCGTGTACAAATACATATAGGGGCTCTGCATGCACTGGCTCAGGGTTGTCTTGCTGCTACAGCTTTATCCTTTCAGAGAGAATACGCAGAAGCAGAAGACAAGGTGGAGCTGGGGGAGGCCCCTGCTGCTGCTTTTTTATCTCTTAAGGACCAGAGCGAGCGTATACTGTCGCAGCAGCAAACAGAAGAAAAAGAAACAGAAAAAAATAATACACACGAAAAAAAAAAAAATACACATAGACTCAGAGCACTCAATAGAAAAACGCATGCAGCACCGGGTGTATCGGCAACTGCTGCTGCTGCTGCTGATGCTGCTGCTGCTGCTGCACCAGCTGCTGCTGCTGCTGCTGCTGCAGCGGGAACAAATGATGCTGCTGCTGGCAGCACACAGACAAACGCTGCACCAACTGCTGATGAATCATCTGAGGCATCAACCACAGCAGCAGCAGGAGCAGCAGCAAGAGCAGCAGCAAAAGCAGCAGCAGGAGCAGCAGCAGGAGCAGCAGCAAAAGCAGCAGCACCGCCAGAGACAGAAGAGACTGACAAACGATAGCCACAAACAAATACACAACACACCGCCAACCTTGTTGCAGCAGCAACAGCAGCAGCAGCAGCAGCAGCAGCAGCAGCAGCAGCAG